AGACAGACAGATAGACAGACAGATAGATAGATAGACAGACAGACAGACAGATAGACAACAGATAGACAGATAGATAGATAGATAGTATAAAGCAATAGAGATAGAGATGACAAATCTAACGAGATAGCTTGAGAGAGATAATTAGTATAGCGAGAGAGGAAGAGAGATTTTAACTTCAGCATACAACTTCAGATGAAAGAATTTAATGAAAGATCAGGCAGATGAAAGCATAACATGAATGAGTGAAATTAAAGAATAAAGATCAAAAGTGAAAAAAAGATGAAAGAGTAAAGAGTGAAATGAAGGAATGAATAAAATGGAAGAATGTGAGGGATGCGAGTGTTATGTAAGTGTAATTATAGAGAGAAGAAAAGAATTATGGAAACCATATGCATTAAAGAAACAAAGCAAGAATATGATTATGTAAATGAGCGGGTCTTCTGAACATCATTCGTAAGTCCGGATATTAAAATGACTTTATTTCTAAAACCTGAATCTGAATCTTTACCTGCTACTGCATCAGCTGAACTCCAGCACATCCACACTGATGAAGATGATGATGAAGATGGTGGTTTGCGCTGGTCTGATGTGTTCTGGACTCGTTCAGTCCAGCGCAGAAACAAAAGCTCGTCGCTTCACTGCAGCTGATCTGACGCGTTTTATTCGCCGCGCGGGACACCAAACAAACGCGTTAAATGATGGTAAATAAAGCCTGGATGCCGCTGCTCCAGAGATGACGGCCATGGACGGAAGCAAGAAGCAGATCCCGGCTCCGAGACGCGGACAGGGCGGAAAAACTGGCACGACTGGCGGAGAGTTTCGGAAACCGTCGGGAACTTTCGGACAGCATCGGAAACCTTATACAAAGACGCAGCTGCAGTACAGCCACACGGCCACACGAGGGAGCCATTTATCACATAAAAATGATTTACTGTACTGCATACTATGCACTGTAGTATAGTATAGGGTGGGTCGCGGAGTGTACGGCCAAAGAAACGACATCAACAACAAAAAACGTAATTCTTAATGTTTTTCTGATGCGAGACTTTTCTTTTAAAAGACTTGCATGAAAGCTGGTGACACTTCTGTCAGATGCAGTTTAAGTGCCTGAGAAAAACGCGCTGTCCCGGTTCAGTATCTGCGGTCAGATGAGATGACATTGACAGGTTTAATGTCAGTGTCATTATTCTATCGTTATTTTCATTACTTGTCATGAAATAAAAAGAAAAGCGAATTATCCTGCCCCTGATGCACTCTTCAACAGCACGCGCTGTATATCACTTCACTAAAGCGCAGACACTGAGCATGCAACGCGTGAAATAAAAGTAGAGTACCGATAAATCACATAACTGCTACTGCGTGTGTTAGCTGGGAAGGATTTGCATGAAGGTATGTTATATTTATTCTATTCTGGAGCAGTTTCCACGTTTCATTAACAGTTCATGTTAGTATTGTATATTCACCATGGTAACTGTTGTTTCCATAACCCAAAAATACCATGTTATTTGCACTTTGTGTCATTTTGTATGTGTTTAAATGACTGTGGTGGCTTAAACCAACTTAACTGTATTTACAAAAACTAGTTTGGGACTGCTATTTAATAGCATTACCTTATAGGCTGTTTATTCAGTATTAATCATATTCTTAACAGTCTTAACTTAATTTTTG